CTAAATACTTTTTTGCCCCACTGTATTGTATGCTTGTCCTGAGGGCAAGTCTTCCCCAATCCTCTGATTTACCCCATCCTCAGCCCTTCCAAAAGACGGCTGCCAAACACAATTGTGAGGGACTTCCTAGCCTTTTAAATCTCATTATGGATACTTATGGATGGTGGTTTGGCTAACTCTATTTTAGCCTGGACTGCCTGTGTGATTCAATGTTTTTAGCTGTTGTTATGTTCTTCCTAGTTTTGTACTTTGCCCAGAGCCCACTGGAGTTGGGCAGCCAATAAATGTAAATAAATTAATAGATTAAAAAAAAAACACCTAAAGCACTTGTTGTTTATTTGGTTTTAGAATAGTGTCATGTGTGAAGATGACTAATATGATTTCTTTAACAAACTTTGGTGAAATCAAACCATGGCTTAATGGATGTGCAAGTGCAGCCTTTCACAATGTATGGCCCAGCTTGGTGAAGTGCTGTTCTCAAGAACAGTTATACTCCATTAGATTTAGCTCTTCTCATTTCTGAAAAAGAGCAAGGTGATGTCCTGAATTTAGATCACAGATAGAAGATATTTAGTACCCAGAACTGCAGAGAAAGCAACAAGACAAGGATCACAGCTCAGTAGTCAAGCACATACTTTTCATTTAAAGGATTCCAAGTTCAACTCTTAATATCTCTAGGTAGAACTGGAAAATATGACTCCAAGAAATCATGGGAAGCAAGTAGGACAAACAATGAAGCATGAATCTGGCTTATTTTACTTAACACACAATCCATAATTTGTCAGTTTATTCAGTAAAACATCGGAATAAACCATTCTTCTTAATATGCTATATGGCATCTTCCAGTAGGTTCATCAACGAGAAGCAGCATTACTATTTTATTCAAATCATTAAACGTTAGCTTATAAAATGTCCTTACCTCCAATGCATGTGATAAAGAGAAATGAGAGCCTGCAAACCATTTTTTAAAAATAAAATCATACAAACCCATCTCTTCCACTAAAGGTTTAGCTGATCTGGATTTCTTTGGTGCTAACAGAGCTGTCAACATATCTAGGCCATCAAACTTCTCTCCAGGAATCTCTTTGGGAAGGTGGATTGTAAATATCCCTGGAAATAAAAGGATTGAGTCAACCAAAGGCATTTTTTAATCTCAATCAGAATGCTTCAGTTAGCTTGCCTGCCTGCCTGCCTGCCTGCCTGCCTGCCTGCCTGCCTGCCTG